ATCATAAACATAGAAGGCATTAAGTTATGTTTTCATAATATTACTTTTAAAGGACAATCAAATTTCAAAATTGAAAAATAATATTATGAGAAATAAAATTTAAACTTGAATTAAGATAAATAATATTTATCTATATCTAGCTAGCGTTGAATTCTATCTTGAACAATATCACTATTATAAGTCATTTAGCAAATTTAAGACTATTCACAATATATATAATAACATTAAATTAAGTTGAAAATTGCGATTTTAAAATATACTATAAGTTTTTAATTTTCAATTTTTAATTTTTAAAATTTGAATTCTAAGATAACTATCCATATATATTATATTTTATTACAATAAATTAAATTGTGTACTAATAATGTAAATTTAATATTGCTCAAATACACAAGTTAATGATTTGTATTATTATATTGTTATTATAATAAATTAAATATATTATTAAGTGCATTATATATTTTATTAGTTATTTTTAATTATAAAATTATTACATTTTAAATCATCCGCGCAACGCGCGGGCACGTATACTAGTAACTTATAATGATACTAGATTTAGTGACAATTAATTAATATTTATAAAAAATTTGACACATTTATTGAGTTAAAAACTTACCTCAAGAATTACTAGTCACTAAAATAATAATAGGGGACAAGTTCCCCTGTCCAACTATCAACATGTTGTTCAATATGCCAGACAAATAGCTTGAAATTTGATCCAATTACACCTAGTTACTTGTCCTGAAGTGGCGTATCTATTAAACTAGATGGGCGTGGCCCGTGCCAGCACGGGCCCAATATTTTATATTGGGTAAATTAAATAAAATTACTATTGAATTAAATTACTTGTACTAAAAATATTTCACTTTAAAAAAATAAACCTTTTATTACTAAAACATGGCCATTCAGCCTTTTATATCTCCAAAAATATGGCCGACGCACCAAAATCTGCTTTCTCTTGGTCCTCTCTTTTGCTTCTTCTGCCATAATAGAGTAAATAAAGTACCAGTCGATGAAAGATCACCGCATCATATATCCTACTTTATAGAAGTGTATTTAGCTGACATGGCTAATAATGACAAATCAAATTTAAGTTGTAACAATTTAGCCAAAGTACTACTCTAACCCTTAATTAAGGAGAGAAATATTTGTTTGAAATAGAGCAACACAACTATGACAATAAATTTAGCCTAAGTACTACTCCAACCCTTAATCAAGGAGAGAAATATTTGTTTGAAAATAGAGCAGCAGAATTATGAACATTTTTGTCGAACAAGTACTGGAGAATGATTTTAAAGTTATGCAGACCTTTTATAAGTTATCCTCAAATCTTAGACATAGCTAACTTGAGAATTGAACTCAATCGATTGTCTATTATATCCATGTAGATCAACTCCTTCTGACTTATATTATTAGTGTACCTTGAAATGAAAAGTAGAATGAGATAGAAGCAGTACAATTATTTTTCAATCTGTAGATGTAAGAATAGCATAAAATGAACAACATACTACATTTCTCTTATTCTGCTTTGTTATGATGTTGTACACTATAATAGACATTTATCAATAGGAAGAATAGGAATGGGGTTTGTGTTTGCTAACTAACTTCATTCACCATAGACTATTTATTTTTTTGATAAGATAAGTGCTATTAATAACAACATCAGGAAGATGCAAAATTTACAAGATATGACATTTGAGCTTACAAAAAATTCTCTAGCTAACTATACAAACTATCTAAGCCAGAGCTAATGAGTTAGTAAAATCCTGAAGTTGTTCTGCGTTAACAGCAGGATACAAGTTGGTCCAACTAAACAAATTTTCAGTGCACCTAGTCTTCGAAATGCCTAAAGCAGTTGACTCTCCATCAAAACATCTCTTGTTCCTCTCTAACCAAATACACCAAAAAATACAAGCAGGTATCATAATCCAGATCTTCTTGATGGCTTTGCCAACTTTCCATAGACTCCAACTCTCATATGCATCCTTAACAGTGAGGGGTGTGGTCCAATTGATGCCAGAGAGACAAAAAAACATGCTCCATAATTCTGAGGCCACCTCACAATGAAGAAGGTGTCTGAGGGTTTCAGCCTCTTTTTTGCACCTATAGCATCTGTTTGGGAATTGGATTTTTCTTTTCTTTATGTTGCCTTAGGTGAGACATGCCTCATATAGAGATATCCAGGTAAAAAAAACTACCTTAGGTGGTAGCTTGGTCCTCCAAATGAGTTTGCAGGGCCAGTTAGCTATCACGGGGTTTCTAGAGCACAACTGTTGATACCCTTCCTTGACTGTATAAACTCCTTTTTGGTGTCCCCATTTGAGCTTATCGGCTGCCTGGAGATTAATGTGACAATGTTGTAGTCTAGCAAAAAGGTCTACCAGATCATTCACTTCCCAATCGTGCATATTCCTTCTAAATCTCAGATCCCAATTGATCCCTTCTCTATTAGCAGCAATAACGGAAGAGTTGGGATCTTGAGCAATTCACCATAGACTATTTTTTGTTCTTCCTCCGTCTTGAAAGTTGTAAAGCAGCAAGTGCTTTTTGCTTTTAGACAACCTGAGAAAAAAAAAAGTGCTTTTATCTCATTATAATCCTCACATATTAGACATTCACTACAACAAAAACAGATAAATCTACACATTCATGGAGTGCTAAAGTTTTTACCGACATTAATTAATTATTATTGGATCTAATGTTGCTATAGGCTTTAGGAACATTTACAAAAAGTGCCAAGTGCCGCTAAAAATATATATTTAGTGGTGATTAAGCTATTGCGGTTAATTAATTGCCGCTAAAGATCATTTGATTTTCTTCTCAAATTCACATGTATTTGGCTACCAATGGTAATAACAATAAAATGTCGCCCTTGACCTTTTTCTTTCTATTTTCTTTACTCGCCGTACATTGCTCTTCTAGTTGCATCTGAGGAAGCAGTTGGTTGCAATTCCTTACCTTATCTAGAAAAACTGTTTACTTGAACCTACTTTTCCCTAAGACTTAACAGGAGATCAAATCCAATATGCTATGGGAAATAAAAAGAATGAAGAAGGGAAAAAAAATCTTCTGAGTTCAATAGGTGGAGTACTTATTAGGCTATTAGCAGAGACACTACCATTGACCCTTGCTTTATAATCTCATTTAAGTACTTTATATGATAAGACTACAAAAAGCTAAACTCGATCAATCTCATCATCCTCTACTGGAGGAGGAATGTTCTGATTCATCATAGTACTATTAGTTTATTGTATTGATTCTGTTGAAGCACGATCCAAAAGAATACTATATATATCCCAAATAGGGAGAAACAAATCATATATTTTATTGATGCACAGAATGTGGTACATTGGAAATCTAGTGGATAGATTTCTTGCAACAAATAAATGATATCCACACAAATGTACTCCAGGAACCACATGGTCACAACAAAAAACACAATGATTCACAGTTTATAATCTAGGTGAATGCAACTCTCTTCAACTCGTAGTAACCTTTTAGAAGACTGAATTATAGGAGATAATTGCATACTAAAATCATAAGATGCAACAAAAGTTTGAATAATACCTTTGATATATGCTTTTTCATTCCATCATTAACTGGCTCATCTAGTGACCTCTCAGGAAGTTCATAAAACGTTGCATTACCTCTGGACCATTAACTTTCTCTTTGTGCAAGTATCTGTGGATGTGCAAAAATCAGAACACCAGAAAGCAGAACTATGTGACGTGGACATGGAATCCTCTGGGTTGTCGATTCTAACCTTTGTTGGACAACTGCTTCCAATGCTAGTCTGAGGTTTTCGTGGAGGATTTTCATCAGTTTCAGACAATTCCAACCGTCTCAAATGAAGCCTAAGATTTTCTTCAACACATTGATAGCAGCAAATTTAACAACAAAACAATGAATATTGAAAGCTTACCCTGAATTTTCAACCGTCGATATCACTGCTAATTTCATGAAAGCACCAAAGAATTTGGCAACTCAAATTCTTTCTAAACAATCACCTGAAACTTGTGATATCATAGCCCATAGGAAAATTAAATCACCTCAAAGCAGAAGCCTTAACATATAAAGATTAATCAATTGTTTGGGGAAAATACTATATGAAAAAAAAGATATCACGGGAAAAAAATGCCTACTTACCTAAGTCCACCGTTCAAGTTTATTAGCGCTTTGAATCATCTCCCAAAACAATCAACTCTTGGAACTAATAATAAGCAGAGATGACATGATTTGGTTGTAACAGAACTTCAACATTCACATCATTGTAACAAAACTTCAAGCTTTTTGTGAGATTTTTCTTCAAAATGTAAATAGACCAGGACAATCTCTTAGGTACTATCAACTTAGTGTTCATTTGAATCGGAATCTTTTTAAAAATGTAATGAAGAACTGAAAATGATGAGCAACCTTACTGAACAAAAGAGATTGATCCAGCCACATTAAAGTAGAATGATTCTGAAGAAACTGATATCATCAAGGGAGATACAACAATATCATGAGATAGAAAAGGGGGATGGAAAGCGACGGGCAAAGCAGAGTGAAAGAGGGCATGAAAGAAGAAAGGATAGATGGGATTAAACTAAAACAACAACATGGACTGAGTAGTTACTAAAAAAGATAGGCTGCGGAGTACACCGAAGACGCGGAAGTAAGTGAATATGACCAAGACAAAATAGGGATAGAAGTACAAATGATTCAACATTTTTCATAGATCAATAATTGTACTACACATTCCTTTTCTTGATCTACTTTATACCAAAGGGAATTTTAATCAATTTTTCTATTGTAAAGATCGTATAATGTGGGGTTGATTTCTACAACATGTCTATATGAGGATACATTCATAAAAAAAGTTTCATTGTATTTCTCAAATTTAAGTAATATTCTATTGAAAAAACTGACTGACATATAAATTCATTATTTTTCCTTGAGTACACATATACATTATTTTGAAGATGGCATCCACAAAATATGCTTGATTCCTTTTAATTGTTCACTGATACTCATCCGATCATGTGGTAGAATATTTATTTATGATAGAATAAAAACACCATCTTACTTGTAGTGTTATTCAAAAGTTGTGTTCATCTAACTTTCCAGTAGTAAAGTTACTTGTAGTGTTATTCAAAACACCATCTTACTTTCTATCAAGTTCAAGTAAAGAGGACCACTTGGTGTTCAACTCAATGTTTAATATATATAGCTATAAAGACGCACGATGAAAGAATATACTACTTACAACAAACAACATCATTCTTCATAGAAATAAAAATTGTGTTATTAATGGGAAAAAAGGTAGTAGTGGTCTAACAGCTAGCATCCTACTTGTAGAAGGATAAATCAACCAACTCCACATAAACACAAACTTGATTTATAAAAATTATAGTAATGAAAAAGTATAGCAAGCATATGTTCAAAACATAAGTTCAAACTTAAACATAAAAAAGTGAAATGTCATGAAAATACCATCTACAACACACTGCACAACTTTAAGCATTCCAAATTTTGTCATCCATTTATTTGTCTGATTTTTCTCTTCTCTTATCCTTCATTTTGGGGTCTTTGAAACGTTATAAGATATATTTTTTCTTCAGGACCTTCAAGATGTGAACTTGATTTGAATAACCAGAACATCAAAGAAAAAACAATAGATAAATGGGAGGGAGGAAGGGGGGTTACCTTGTGTGAAGGTTAGGCCAATTCTAGCTTATATGTAAATTTAATTTTTACAATTTAAAAATAGTGTCAGACATCAAAAAGTGTACCAGGTAATGAAGGCAATTATATGAACAATGTTCATAAAGATCTACTCTTGTGATATACTATGATTTTTTTCTCAATTAAAAATATAAGAACATTAAAAGAAGCCTCATTAAGTATAGCTTTATGACTCACTAAATTATTCTCTGTCCCAAATCCTGAGCCCTTTTATTTTACTAATTTCTATAGTTATAAGAAGTCACTCATTGTTTTTTTTACATGTATTCTGCATATTAAAGTGAATTTTCATATTCATGAGTTGCGTCGGTGATAATTTCTCGATCCTAAGGACAACAAAAAGATAAGTAGACTTTCATCAATGAAAATTTTCGAAAAATACAACTAAACAATTAAGAGTAGAACTTCACTTATGAAGAAGCTCGATTTAAAAAAAAAAAATAGTACCTGAAAATAATAGCAGTGTCATTCCGAAATATGTCAAGGGCCTTTTCATAATCTTAAGAGAGGGAGCGTTTTCAAGATCCTGCACCGATTTCTCATAGCTCTTTGTCTCTATCGTCGCTACTGCCTGCCCTAAAAAGACATTAACCCAAAGAAATATAATTTTCAGGAGCACGCACCCAACATTAAAGGAACATAGACGGAACACGCGCCGAACATCAAAGGAACATAATTTTCAGGAAACTTGGTGCGACATGTTAAAAGACCGGCGTTCCACATGACTGAGAAAGTCCTATCATGACATTTCAATGAAGAAGTTGATAATATATATATGTGAGAAAGCAATAGCATATACACTGCACATTACACAAAAATAATAAAACAAAAAGATCGTACAACTTTTTTATGAACGTAACAAAGAGATATTTAATATCACTGTGATATGGAAACACATGCATGTTATGAATAATCTTTCGTTTTTAAATATAGTACTTGGAATGGAAATGATAAAATGCTTAATTGGCTTGCTAAACAATTTAGCATATATATATAGCCCCATCTTTAATCTTCACTTCATTTATCTTGCAAGGTAAAGCGTGCATAGAGACTAAAATAGGTGAATAGAAATGTTTGTATGGAATCTTGAATTCATTTTCTAGTGCATCAATGTTTAATATTTACCGTTTTAGTCTAACAAGTGAATCAAGGATAGAGAAGGAGAAAAACTGAAAATTATATATCATGTTATTTTAAATACAAACATTTCAGAACGTCAAAGACAAAATCTAGCAAAGGTGAAATGTCAGATCCATAAGGAAGTAAATATCTACAAAATATTACTGAGGTTAAAGCAAAACTCATTTGAAATAACTAAACAAAGTCACAGATTGCGTTACCTGTAAATCTAAAAGTAATTGGAGATAACGATTAGTAGGAAAAAAAGTATATACACAACTTTAGCAGAGGGACGCGTAATAAAAGTAAGGCTGGCAACGGGACCGGTAGCGAGACTACTGGACCGGGATAAACCAGAATCGGAACGGAACCGGGTACCATGGGGCGAAATCGTACCGGAATCGGGACGGACCAGAACCGGTAGATCCGGAAAATTATATGTATATCCGTCTCGGATCGGTACCGTACCGGGACCGGACCGGACCGGAAACCGA